AATATTTAGGGATGCGCCAGCTTCCTCCGCTTATCTCCAGAGCGCTGCTCTGGTGACAAGAGCACCGTTTTCACCCCCCTTCCTCCATTCCAGTCCATCACAGCCATTCAATTTCATTCATCCTCTTTATATGACCAAAACCATCTCAATGGACTCATTTCAGTACCATTTTCTACCCAATCTCTTCTTTTATCACAACACTTCTTAAGTACTCCATTTCCACTGTAGTCAATATGTGTGTTTCCCCAACATAACACCCTCTCACTTCCATATAACCAAGTGGGCACCATTCAAAAGAGGCAATAAAAAAGCTAAGAAGGAAACAAAAAAGAGCAAAACATATCCCCTCCAGCAGCCAACACCAGATAAGCAGGGATTAACACTAGATGAACAAGCAGAAAACAGTACCCTAATCAAGGAACTACCAAGGAGAAAACCACACCCCCACCAACACTTGCAGGGCAAGCTACTGTATTTAAACAGGGAGAAAACCCCACACCCACTAGCACTGATGATGTTACCTAGTTGGGTAGTGAAACATCTGCAAGCAAACAGCCAAGCTCAGAGAGCACCAAGGACTCTCTGGATAGTAGTATGATACAGACTATGGCTCAAACACTGGGAAACAAACAGTACAGAACCAGCCTTGTAGACAAAACCTATGGAGGAAAGAATCTGTTTGGGGAAATGATTGATCCCATCCTAGCTGAAAACAAGGACAAGAAGAAATCCCTGCCATCAGCATCTAAGGATAGCATTGAATACAAAAGAAGATTCTCTGCTTCCTTTTGCTCCAGAGAGTATTATCTTTAATTCATTCCAACCATGAAACAGACAAGGAGGTAACCACCAGCAGTTGGGCCAGAGGATGAAATTTTCCAAAGAAACATTCTTGAAATTGAGCTGTTGCCTTTTCTAAAGGAGATAGGAACATACACTCAGTGTTAACATCTGGGTGTTTGATGTTATCAGACAAGAGCAAAACAAAGCACGCACAAAAAGGATTATACTTGACCCCACAGCTTTTTCATGTATTGGGCTTCAGAGTTTGAAATTCATCCATTGACTAGGACAAAATAAAGATTTTCCCACTTTTGTGGGCTGATTAAATGGTCATTTCCAAATTATGTGGCTATGAGTAATTTTATTTTCACTGTTTGTAAATATGTATCATAAAACAAAATCATTTATAGTATGAAAAGTGCTGAACCATTACGAAGTGTTCTGTGGAATATGCTGAAATGTCAGCAAAGAAGATAACCATAGCCATTGAGAAGATATGATAAGAAGCTTTAACAAGAGTCTGCACACTGTGATGAATCTTCCATCACTTGTGCCATAGTCACCTTTCAGCTTGTTTTAGTTCCCCAGAATATCATGTTGCTCCACTCAGTAGAGGATCATCTCCACATTCCCCAGAATGGCAGGACATTTAGAAGATTACATGGTAGCTAATTTTTTCAGCCTGAAGATACTTGGTAGGCTAAGAGGTTCAGGTTACTCTCAAATAGTTATTGCTGATGATTACTATGCATATAGTGTTTCAGTAATCTGGAAAGCATGACAGATTTTTCCCTTTCATGTAAACTAAATTTATTTTAACTGCCCTTTTTCCATCTCTTGTGAAGTAATATTAGAGAAAATATTTGGAGGAAAGGTATTAAGTATTGGGTTTCGTATTCCCTTCCTCAAATATCTTTGTTTCCATTCTCATGCTATATTTATTACTACATCACACCAATTGTAAAAGTGCTCTTCATGACTGCAGTTTCTTTACTGAACAAAACGGGCCATCACTGGATTTAAATGTATCTGACATTCTCTTCTCTTCTTTGTGTTTGCAGTTATAGAAACTACTGAAGGGAACACCACAATGGTAAGTACACCATGCAGATATTCACTTTTATAAGCCATCAGCTTTCTACTGAAAAATAGAAGTGAAGAGTAACCTTCAACAAATAAGCAGTCATTTAAATCTCTTGTGTTTGGATACAGTTCTGAAGAAAAGCTACCTAACTCTTCGTATTGTTCTTCTGAATATTTTCGCAGAACTCGCTATCGTAATCCCTTGCTGCTTCAGTAGAAACTAAGATTTCTTAGAGGGAAGGGATGCCTGCAGGTCTGGAACAGGACTATGAACTTCCAGGGCCCTCTTTAAAACTATCGAAACAGTATGAAATTGCTGCAGCTGCTGATCTCATTGCACAGGAAAGAACTATGAAATAATATGAAAAGAGCCTTTTAGAATTCCTTCATTCATTGATAGAATTAGAATTGGAGCAGGGATTATTTTTTCTAGTTTGTTGTCTTAAAAAAAAAGGTAACAGTTAAATTTTAAAACATAATTAAGGTAAAAGTAAAGACTCCCTTGAGTCAAGTCCAACTCCAAGAAATTTCATAGACTTGTCCATGTAGCTTATTACAGTATAGAGTAGTTAGTTTGTTATTGCCTTTTTCTGGGATATTTTTCAACTCCCTGATCTAACTTATAGCCCTGGGGATTTCTTATGGTTTCCCATCCAAATATTAACAATGTCCAACTTTGCTTAGCTTTTGAAAGTTGGATAGGAGTTGCCACCTCTTGGTTAAAAAATATTTTTCAGTTTACTATGAATAATGACATAGGATCCTGATCCTAAGAAATACACGAGGCAACAGACACAGAGTATGATAGTGTCATTTGGCTTAATCTTCTGAAAATAAAAGTCATGTGGTAGAAGGCCTAAATAGCAACCTTAAGTAATAACAAACTAATGTTTGGGCCTCATTTCTTAGTCTTTTATATTCCAGTTCCTCCTCTATTGTCACCTGCTGTTCAACTCTGCTTCTACTTTTGCTATAAGTTCTTGTCCTGATTTTAGTGCCTAAGTTTCCATAAATTATTTTCACTCACATTCCTGTATTAGCTCATTCATATTTGAAATTTTTTATCTGAAAGAAAAGTTCTAATTGTTCGATGTTCAGACTTAAGTATACTAAGTTGTTAATCTATTGTAAGTAATTATTTGTTAAAATCCTGTTTTTAAAGTACAGAAAGGCACATGAGAGCCAGTGTTGTGTAGCGGTTTAAGTATTAGACCAGGGCCACAAGACCCAGGCTCAAGCCTGACTTTGGGCCAGTTATTCTCTTTCAACCTAATATAACATGAAGATGTTAATCCTTTGAAGATGTTGTCCATCTTCAAAGGAATAAAATTCACAAGGGAAGAAGAAAACAACTACCCTTACTGGATATCTTCACTAGCAGAGGAAATGACAGCAAATTAGAAACGCCAATCTATCGAAAAACCACTTACACTAACCAAGTGCTCCATTACCAAAGTAACAACAAGAGGAACTGTGTAAGAACATTATTCAGACGAGTGCAAACACACTGCAGCAACCCAGAACACCAGAAAAAGGAAACAGACCACCTATACAACATCTTCCAACAAAATTAATACACAACTTTATCAAAAAGTGCCTGACCACTCAACCAACTACAGCACAGCTAACACAAGCTATGAAAAGGATAACACTACCACACATCAAAAACATCTCAGAAACAACCAACAGACTATTACAACCACACCATCACCATAGCACACAAACTAACTAAAGCCCTCCAAAACATCTTAAGTAAACCAGATAAGCAGGGATTAACACTAAACAACCAAGCAGAAACAATACCATAATCAAGAAACTATCAAGGAGAAAACCACACCCCCACCAACACTGGCAGGGCAGGCTACTGAATATAAACAGCAAACCCCACACTCACTAGCACTTATGATGTTACCTAGTCAGGTCTGCAAGCAAACAACCAAGCTCAGAGAGCACCAAGGACTCCACAGCAGGGATACAAATCCAGCAGTAGTCCAGCACCAGGAGCTGGCTTTCTTGCAAAATAAATAGGATGGGAATGCAACAGGAGTGTCAACCGAGCATAGTCAAAAAAGTCAATGCGGCAGCCACACTGGTGCAGTTGAAGGTCTACCTGTTTTTATCTATACACTATCTTGATTTTTTTTTTGACCATAGCCTGCAGTTGCCCCTGGAAATCCAAGCACATTTAGTACTTTCCTCCCTCAAAGTGAACTATATATTTCCCTAAGACCGCTAGACTTCCCCACTGATCAAGCCTGTATAGGATTCTTTTTTTAAAAAATAATTTTATTAAGAATTATACATCAAAAGAATAAAAGTCAATACAAACTACAAAAAATACAGAAAAACAGAAAAGGGGGGGAGAGTGTAGAAAAGAAAAGGAGGGGAGAAAAAGAAGAAAAAATAACTTCCCCCCTCATCCCAGCAGGTAAAAACAATTTTAATAGCTTATCACCATCTTTAAATTAAAAAATAATCTCTGTTCTCCCCATAACATATCTCTTAAGTAAC